AGTACCTGCTCCGCCCCGGAAGCGACCCCTGGCCATGCCTCGACGCCTTTCTCATTTTGAGTTTCGAGTCCCTTTTTTTGGGGGTTCCAAACTCATAATGAGTTTCGAGTCCCATTTTTTTGGTACTCGAAACTCAAAATGAGAATACTGTACGTATGCGCAGTACAGTACCTGCTCTGCTCCTGGAGCGCCCCCTAGCTGTACCTCGACGCCATTCTCATTTTGAGTTTCGAGTCCCTTTTTTTGGGGGTTCCAAACTCATAATGAGTTTCGAGTCCCATTTTTTTGGTACTCGAAACTCAAAATGAGAATACTGTACGTATGCACAGTACAGTACCTGCTCCGCCCCGGAAGTGACCCCTAGCCGTACCTCGACGCCATTCTCATTTTGAGTTTCGAGTCCCTTTTTTTGGGGGTTCGAAACTCATAATGAGTTTCGAGTCCCATTTTTTTGGTACTCAAAACTCAAAATGAGAATACTGTACGTATGCACAGTACAGTACCTGCTCCGCCCCGGAAGCGACCCCTGGCCATGCCTCGACGCCATTTTCATTTTGAGTTTCGAGTCCCTTTTTTTGGGGGTTCGAAACTCATAATGAGTTTCAAGTCCCATTTTTTTGGTACTCGAAACTCAAAATGAGAATACATTACGTAGGCACAGTACAGTACCTTCTCCGACCCTAAGGCGCCCCTAAGCGGCGGCTCAGGGGAATGATGATGATCTCGAAGCATGCGCAGTATGCATTTGCTTTGAGAGAATTCTCATTCTGAGTCTGAACTCTTGACCGTAGAATAGACAGTTCATGTACTCACCTGTGATGTTACGTTTTGTGGTTCTTGGGTAAGTGTAGCAGTTTCATTGAGAGCATTTTAATATGTTTTTTGCTTACGAGAACTACTTAGATGTGGAGACGATTTACATTTGAATCCCTATCTTTAGAAAATTGCAGTCTCACTGATTTGGAAAGTCAGCTTTTTGCGGATCGAACAAGATGATCATTAACAATTCCGCGACAGCGAATGAGCTAGAGGAAGTCATTAATCTTACTGATCCACATACTTTCCAAATAGAAGACCAGAGTCTCATATTTCCCTTTTGATGTTAGAACTCATGCACTGTCATCATCATTTCATGACAAGTCACAAACGTATTCCGTCATGGACGTGAAGGAGTGGCTTCCAAAGAATTTTGTCAGTGAGATTGTGAGAGGGTCTGCATTCGTGTGTCATGTACGATGTTTGTTTAAGAATGATGACAGAGAGCCTGCAACATCTAGTTCTCTCGATATTTTCATGCTTGAAACAAGTGAGAATAGCGTTCTGCATGTAATCTGCGGTCCGAAAAGTCGTCAGGAATTAAATAAAATGGTTTATCGCTTCAAAGATAACTAAAACTAGGATGGGGGCGTTCCCTTTCTGGAGAACAGGAAAATCATGCAAAGCGGTGATGCAAAGGCCTCGGATTCAAATTGTGCGCTGGTACCATCTTCATTTAGTAGGACAAGTCACGGAAATAGTGAAACGTTTGAGTAGCATCTTTCCGAAAGGAGGGAATAAAGGGATGGTAGTGCCTTTACAAAGCAGTCTGAGAAGCGTTTCGCACGGCATTTGTTCTTCTCAGTGCAAACAAATCAGCAGTGAGTATTGTCAATACATCAGGACTCCGACTGCATCACAAGGAGCCAAGAGGATAGTACAAAAATGGCGACCAGTCCCTAAGACATGGGAAACATATCTAGAAGAGCGTATTTCCTTATTTGTACAGATGGAAAAGCTTAGAGATCTGACAATGAAAGTTGAAATGCAATGCCAGCATTTCATGCCCTAATTGGGATTCTGAGTTGCCTAATGAAGAAAGTCAAAATGTCATCACAAGAATTTGTGTTAATTTCCGGCAAGGAAGTGACACAGGATCTTGTCCTGCGCAAAACTATCTCGACGTTGTTTTTGAAAATCCAAACGACTGGCGAAGATATAAGGAACGTTCAAGGCTTGAAAAATAATAAACCGGTGGTTGACATTATTGATGTTGACGCTTCTGATAGAGATCGGTAAGCAGGCACGAAAGTAAAATGGTAAACAAAGTTATGTATTGAATCTATCTGTGTTATCCCATTGAGTCCCGTATCTCCTCTCGTGAGTACGGAGGGAACTGCGAGCTTTGCAAACTTTGTTACGGGAACTTCTACCTATTAACCGTTTAACTCAACTACAACTTTGAGTATAGAACGCCTTGTATGGTTTGTACTACAACCATAACTTTAAAGCCACATGTTTTCATGGTACCTTTGTTGAAGTGTTTAATGTTTAATGAGCGGCAAGTAAAAGTTTATTTCCACGGGGTATGTGGTGTCAACCTTATTATGAGTTTCGAATCCCTTCTGTTTGGTGGTCCCTGTGTCGGGGATTAGAGACTCATAATGAGTTGCAAATCCCCTTTTTGGCATTCGAAACTCATAATGAGAGTACAGTATAGGATGATATCCGAGGTAATGTGTTTGACAGAGGTGACTTAGTGATCACCATTTCCGTTTCCCTAAGAAATGCCGTTCCATCCAGAGGACACCATAGATGAATTTCTCCCTACCAGCTGCTCACGTGCTAGTAATGTCGCCTTACTAAAATACTCAGTATCTTGAAGTCTCACTACGTATATTAAACTTATTCAGGATGTCACCCCCCATTTGGGCGCTATCCCTTCTCACTTTTGAGTGACTTCATTCCATTCACCCAGAATGCTCTGTAACAGCTTCACGCATGGAATAGAATTGGTCTTTGCAGATCACACCCATAAATAATGTGAAAACAAAATATATTTGTATGATCTACCATAGAACATCTCGCTTTTTCTCTGCCGAACCAGGCCAATTTATCTCGTCTTGGAAACCAAGTGCAGTGCGTATATTCAAAGAACGCCTCGTCGCATGCAGAAAGAGCATTCGCATATTGATATGGGGCACATAAATGTTAACTAATAAATGTTCACTTGTTGATGGGTGGTCAATGTTTACCCAACGGCAAGTAAATGTTTACTTGTTGACGGATATTTGGACTGGACAGGTGGAGTGCTGTGATAGGTTGCAATACTTTGAGTTTTTCAAGAAATTCAATGGCTTCTTTTGCCCCTACTGTAATTGAGTTTATTGAGAATTGTATTAAAATCACGGTGCATATCGCGTATGATAAAAAACTTTATTTACAACCAGGGAGAACCCGTCCAACTGGCATGTCCAATCCTAAACAATAATCTGAGTCGCGATTCTCCTGACATGATCTGGATCGTCATTTCCCACAAACAATGGCTTGCCGCCAACACGATGCGAAACTGTAGTACTGACTGACATTTTTTCCGGAATGGGAGGGAGCCAGGCAAAAATTAGAGTGCACCAGTGGGGAAAGGTGCCGCCGGACCGAAGATCCATTCCAAAAGAATATGGACGATCTTTTGGAGAGGTTCAAGGATTGAATATGGTCGACCAGCAATAGCCAATCGCAGCAATAGAAAATTTGGACCGTGTCTGATTTGGACGACACCGGTGGAGACGCTCTAATAACAGAGTTCTGGCCGGGTAGTGGTTCTGCCATCTGATTGTGCCGCTCCGAATTAGTGCCGTATTATTAGTCTTTACACGGGGCGGCACTAATGCGTAGGGTCGACTGTACCAGCTTCCCGTCGTTCAACTCATTTTTTTTGGACTTTTCGCAGTCGGGCTGTTTCGATCCTTTCCATCGTCGTCGTCTCAAGAGAAGCAAAGCCCAACCGAAACAACCTAAGCACAGACCATTTTTTACCGATTCAAACCAGAGGTCGGAACACAGCATCACACCCCTCCTTTGTTTGTCAGTTGGACTTCACTTAGAAGAGAAACTCACAAAGAAACAAGTTGACATGAGTTTGAAACAGCCAGTGTCACAAGTACGGCTGACCAATGTGGCTGTTGTGCGCCTGAAGCGCAGAGGAAAGCGTTTTGAGCTCGCGTGCTACAAGAACAAAGTTATATCCTGGCGGGAGGGCAACGAAGACGATTTGGACGAAGTCCTGCAAACCTCGAGTGTCTTCACAAACGTGTCGAAAGGGGTTCTGGCGAAGAAGAAGGACCTCGTGGATGCTTTCAAAACCGAGGACGAGGGCGCGATTGTACTAGAAATTTTGAAGAAGGGAGAACTGCAGGTTTCTGGACGGGAACGGCAGTATCAAGCCGAAAACTTGTTCAATGAGATAGCAGTCATTGTGTCAGAGAAGTGTGTAGACCCATCCACTAAGAGACCTTTCAGTGTTGGGATTATTGAGCGAGCTATGCGAGATACAATACATTATGCTGTTCTTCCTAATAAGACTGCAAAGGTATGTTCCGTCACGTCTGCTGCGTGTGTTATGTCAATGCCGGTTCAATGCTATTGTCCTTAGCCGCTGTCTTGAATGTGAGCTTTTCCTAACTGTTTATGTGATTATTTCTGTTGGTTTCAATGAAAAAAGGTCCAGGCGCAGTCTGTAATCAAGCAGTTACAGGAACACATGAGCATCAGCCGTGCCCAAATGAGATTGCAGATATCCGTACCTTCCTCGAAAGGGAAAGCTGTGCGGGAGAAGCTGAGAGAGCATGTCCAACAGTGGGAACAAGAGGAATGGGATCCAGACTTCCAGGCTACCGTCTTGGTAGATCCTGGATGCTTCAGGATAATTGACGAGACGTTACGAGAAGCAACCCGTGGTCAAGCAACATTTGAAGTGCTCAGTCTTGCTGTTGTGGAGGACAATGATGAGCAACTGCTTTAGTAAAGATGTAAATTTTTATAATGGAAGTTCGTGTTTACGCTACGAATCTCTTGAGGAAATCTTTTGCCGCTTTCTAGGAGATGACGCCATCTCCCGGTCATCTGTTTGCTCATCATCACTGCGTTCAGTATCGCCACGTTCCCCTTCTTTTTTCTCATCTGCATCCACATCCTCACTCCCACGCTTTTTCTTGTTCAAGCCTTTCATCCTCGCCAGAACGAGATTGGACAAATCCTGGCGACCAACATGTACGCGTCCCTTTTTATCGCCCATTTCATCCCGTGAGACATTTTTCGTTTTGTGTCCCACTCTGGGGTCCTTGGCTTTCTTGAAAGATTCTTTGAGGAGACCCTCAGGGGCCTCCTGGGACCGTCGCACTTCTAAGTCGAAACGTGGGCCAGCCTCCTTCAAAACGACTTTCGGAAGAGTAGAGGATGTGTCTTTTTTCAGTTCGATTGCGTAATGACGAAACTTAACGCGGGAATCTCCCTCTAATGTAAAAACGATGGCGCGGTCGACGCCGGACAGGTTGAGTGCCTTAACGTCGTCGGGGCCTCGGAAGATGTCCAATAAAAGCGATTTCAACTCTCTGGTCCGTGAATTAGAGTCAAAGTCTTCTCCGTTGAATAAAATAAGCGGCTTCGAACCTGGTAAGCTCTTAACATTAGGAAATGACGCTGCCGGGGTGAAGTTGGTGACGCCGAATTCGATCATATCCAAGATGCGAAAGCCAAATGTCCTCCCTAGGATGAGGTTGTGTGGTCTCTTCTTGGTGTGGTTGACCAAGGCGAATAGAGCGCAGTCATTCAGTCGAGCGAGATTTTCCAAATGCACCTCCCCACCTGCTTCGAAAGGTAGCACTTCGTTCTTCCGTTGCAACTTTCTGCAGTACGGCTTCTTCAAAGCGTGGATTTCGTTGAGAACAGCTGTGCAAACAGCGGACGTCGAGTGGCCCTTCAATGCCAAAAGAGATTTGGGGGTCTCTATGACTTTCGGCAAGCGCGCGTCAATGGCCCTTCTGCCCGCACCAGTCTTTGCCCGGTTCGCAGTATGCGTCCCTTCGTATTGCTTTACCATGGCGACCAGACGGCTAGAGAGACAAGGAGTTAGGTTCGAGCTTAATTGGAATCCGAGGGTCTCTGGGGCAAGCAAAGGAACCAATGCACGCTTGAGGGTTGGGCAATCAGATGGCGATGCAGTGGTCAACCGCTCGTCAAGCGTTGCGGCAGGTGCACATAAGCGTCGGCGGTGGCGTAACTTATGATATATTATGATATATTATGACCTGTGCCATAGTGTAAGCTCGATGATCTGTAATGGCATGAAGGCAACAGTATTCCACGTGTACACGCGAGCAACGCTCAACACTTCACTTCAGTACTTTACGTGTACTCTGGAAGATACTGTACACGTGTGCTGGGCCGTCTTGTGGAACCAGGATCCTGGTGTCACTTGACTCTCGCTCTATTGGCATAAAGGTATTCATTCCTGTTCTTCCTGGTCAGGTCAAGCCCCTAATCCAAGCTGCGCTTTGTTCTGGAAACTGGGGGGTTAACTAATTCTAGAAAGCTGGTAACCCGCTCAGCAACGATTGGAGTACAAACCCCACGCTCACTGTGAATCTCTTCCTGAAATCTGCTCCCTCGAAAGTCAACTGACCGGCAACTCTGTCTGGCGGAGAAGGTAGAGAGTTGGATCATGATCTTCCATTGGAATGTCATGCTGATAGGCATCCTAATTCTCGTTATTGCTCTTGGGGAAGCAAAAGAAGTTGAAGTTGAGTTTAAGATTGTCCCCAACAAGGCCGGTGATGTGGAAGTAGCCCTTGATACGCCCCCAATCCCGTCGTCTACATGTCGGTTCGAATGGGACTCAAGTGGAGCAACCGTCGAGGTGCGTTCTTTCTCACGAGGGATGCTTATTCTTCCGCTGATTTTTTTTTATACCAGCCAATGTTAAAGATAACTTCTGTGGGAGACTGAGCAACTAATTGTGTGGTTTGTATCTTTCCTTATTCCTCGATTTATGAAATCAGCAATGGATTGCGAAAATCTACGGAGATCCCAGATCCGGTGAGCTTGAATGTGAAGTTGCGCGAAAGGGGGGTGCAGAAACGTATTTGATGTTTACGAAGTTTAAGACAACGCTGGGATCAAGGTAAGTTCTTCCAACTCCATGTCCATGCCACATGGCGGCCACAGGTCAGATCAGTCAGTTTGCGCAGGTGGGGCATTGAGCTCCTGATACTCTGAATCTTTTGCTCCTGACACTTTGAATCTGTTGCTCCGGCGCGCGACTCAGTCCAATAATCGAAGCACTTGTGCACGACAACGACGGGGAAATGGAAGAAGACAACTTCAGTCAGGACGGAGAGTGCGTCCAAAATTCTCATGACTGGAGCGGAGGCACGATTCGGAAGATCCATTTAAAGTCAATGGTTGTCTCATGACTTCCATCACCACGTATATTCCATTAACGGTTTCGGAATACCTTGCCCCCTTAATGATCATGACCAGACTACCCAGCTTTTATCAGAGGGTCAGGTACACAAGTCTGCTCGGAATACCAGCCAGCGTTAACTAGGCCTCTGGGCACTCATGGCAGTTGATGCGGAGAGTGGACCGTAAAACATGCCTAGAAAGGCAGATGACTACGTATAGTGGGAAGAAGTTTGAGAGGTTGGGTTACAATGTCACATGAGGGTTTTGTAGCGGGAGATGCATGTTTCATCTATTTATGAGAGCTAGAAGCAGGGCAAGCTGAGAGTTGAAAGAATTCGACGTTTACCGCGTGTTGCGCGACTTTTGGTATACACGAAATATGGACGCACGCAAGGTCAAAATCGCTGAGAGTCGGGCAAGGTTCACATTTAAGCTTCGTTCCTATGCGACGACGAGGCGAGTTGAGGGTTCTAAGGGGGCGCAATAGAGCGTAGAGCCATGGAGAGACTGAACATGGAGAGTCGGGTAGGGTTCACATTTCAGCTTCGTTCCGATGCGACGACGAGGCCAGTTGAGAGTTCTAAGGGGGCACAATAGAGCGTAGAGCCATGGGGAGACTGAATATGGAGAAAAGCGAAAAGTCCTCAAACTCTCCAGTCAGATTGCAAAGAGCGGAGTGTTTGACAACATTTGTTTTGGAGGTTGTCAAATGTCTTCGGATTGACAACGCGAGGGGCGGTCTAATAGAAGCTCAGGCCCCGTCCTGTGTGACGCAAACCGCTTGTCGACATGGTTATCGTTGGCCGATTGCCAAAAACCGCGTCGTAGTTTTATACTAAGCCAGCTCCTTTCTCACGGTGTGCAGCGACCACAGAAACTCACGATGAGGTCATGAGAGAGACGGCAGTTTGTTTGCAGTCACAGGACCGCTGCGGATGCAAACAGGTACAGTGCGGTACAGCAACCTATCTGTCTCGTCGTTTTGGTACCGCAGCTCATAATCGCCCGAGGTGGGCTCGCTGCGCAGTCTCCCGGATGAGTTTAGGTGTTGCAGCGAACCTCGGCTGGGGTCTCGACTTTCAGAAGTTGTCGACGTGGTACAGAAATGCTGGCATAGGGTGGAGATGTCTCCTGCACATTAAAGGTGGCCTGATTGGAAGCCCTAGTGTTTAGACGACAAGTGACCTCATTTGAGGCCATTCGATCTCACATGAGGCTACTTTTCAACCTATTTTTTCTCGACTTGTGCTTCCGCAACAAGGAGGAAAAAGATACTCTCGCCACCGCAGTTGACTTATGCGTTGCCGAAGGATGGAGTTTGGTGAGATCTGCACGTATTTTCCAGCCATTTTTAGAATGCCTAAAAAAGAAGCTTTTTTGACCAACCTCACAACGTTATGTGTCGATATCTTCGTAACCAAAACGCCTGTTTAAAATGGCAACCGTGTATTGAACTTCATTGGTTTCTTCGCCATTCTGTGTATCCACAACAGCTATCCTAATGTTTTGCAAGATGTTATTGCCAACGGCATATACGGTAAAGAAATGGTGTCCGAACTGACATCATAAAGTTTCGATGTAGCGTATGTATTTTTGCAAAGAAGAAAGCTGGCCTCACATGAGGCCATGCCTGACCTCATATGAGGCAAATCACTTGTCGTCTAGACACTAGGGGCAGGTGCTGCGAGTAGGGTGAGATTCAGTGCACTGGCTCGTGCTCACGCTTTCTACCAGGTTCAGTGCGGGGGTAGCTCTCAAAGAAAAAAGGCGTCATTTAAATTTCCGTGATGCAGCTGGCAATGTTGACAGGAAAAAAAAGAAAGCACATTTCGTATAAAGTACTGTACAGTATTCGACAACAAAAAATCTAGTGTCAGCAAATTTTCTCTGTTTTCATAAACCGCTGTTGAAAAGTCAACCCCCTTCCTGTACAGTATTTACACTGTACATTGCGCACAGCAGTACAGGGCAGGACATCTCCCCGTGCCACACCCACCTTCAAGGACAACAACCCGAAACCTGGACTTCCAAACCAGAAAACCACCGCATCCTCACTCTCATTGCCGCCCTGGGCAATTGTTTGTGGCATCAGCAGTTTGTGGCTCCAGCAAATACCGTCCCGATGTCATCAGCATTATTCGTGTATCGATGGTGCACGAAAGTCGTCTCGCGTCTCGTGACTGTTGCCTTACTCTACCCGTTGCGCTCAACTTTACTGCACCCTGTCTTTCCGATTAACGGTGCCCTGGGTTTGTTCCCTCGTATTACCAGCGAGGCATGCCTTCCGGCTCACTTTGAATTGCCCGTTGCGACCGATTTCTATAACCTTGACTTCAACCGTGTCACCGACTTTGCATACGTCGTCTACATTGTTAGTCCTCTTATCCTCCAGTTCCGAAATATGTAGCCAGCCCTCTTTTCCTGCGACCATTTCCACGTACGCTCCAAATGGAAGAACCTTGGTCACCTTGCCTTTGAACTTTGTTCCAACGTCAACAGTCATCGATAGTCCAGTAATCATACCCATGGCCTTCTTGATCATATCCCTACTCGCCGAACTTATTGAAACTCTTCCGTCGTTATCAATCCCAATTTGCATTGTACCCTCACCTCCACATCGTTCAATGATGGACCGTATAGTCTTGCCGCCGGCACCAATCACATCACCTATCCGCTTTGGCGAAATGTTCATCACTTCGACCTTGGGCACTGACTCGGGCAGTGAAGGGCTAGGTTTGGCCTTGACAGCGTCCATGCAATCCAAAACGTGCATTCGCCCAGCTCTGGCTTGCATCAGTATTCTAGAAAACAGATCCATAGAGATACCCTGCAGCTTGACGTCCAGTTGCAGAGCCGACAACCCATCTCTGTTGCCTGCAAACTTGGCGTCGCAACTACCGAGCGCATCTTCTATTCCCAAAATATCCGTGAGTACAACCGCGCGGTACTCCCCGGTGGTCAGATCATGGCCCGATGATTTATCCACAACGAGTCCCATCGCGATACCCGCCACTGACGACTTCAGAGGAACTCCCGCTTCCAGAAGAGCGATGCAGCCTCCGCACACGCTGGCCATACTCGAGCTGCCGTTGCTTTCGGTAATGTTGCTCTCCACTCTGAGCACGTACGGGAAGAGTTCTTTGGACGGGATCGCCGCCAGCAACGCACGCTCGGCAAGCTTCCCATGGCCGATTTCCCGGCGACCAGGTGCACTAACCCTTCCTACTTCTCCCACGCTTGATGGAGGAAATGAATATTGCAAATAAAACCTCGCCGCGTCCTCTCCTTCCAAAGTCTCAAACCGCTGTGCCATGTTGTCGCCGCCCAGCGTAGCCACAGCCAGCGTCTGGGTCTCTCCTCGGGTAAACAAAACAGATCCATGGGCGTTTGGTAACGGCGCCGGGTCTATCGTAATGGGCCTGACTGTAAAAGCATCCCTCCCATCCGGCCTGATGTTGTCATCCAAAATACGCGTGACCATGCGTTCCGAGACAAAATTCTTCCACGCGAGCTTGAGCAAAGTGAGCTTCTCGGCAGATCCGTCTGGGTCTGAAATAGTGTCCTGTCGACTCGGCTCGAGTTGTGCAAAGACTCTATTCTTTACCTCTGTGACAACCCTATCGCGATCCTTTTTACCGATCACTGCGAGGGCGTCATCCAAGTCGGTAGCCAGGTGGATGATCTTCTCCGTGAGCTCCGCGGGCACGACGCGCAAGCCGTCGAGTTCTTTTTCCTTCTCGCCCGTCTTCACCCTCAGCTCTTCAATTGCCCGACACAGATTACCAATGGCGGTATGCGCGATGCGCATGCCTTCCATGATTTGTTCCTCTGTCAAAAAGTCGCAGTATCCCTCAACCATCAAAATGGCACCCTTCGTCCCGGCAACGACCAGTTCGGACGCGGCCAGCTTAGTCTGCGCCACGCTAGGCTCGACCACAAACGCGGTATCCACGTAGGCAATCCTCACCGCCGCGACCGGCTCAACCAAGGGAATGTGCGAAATGTGCAGCGCGGCCGCCGCGCCACAAACGGCCAGGGCATCGGGCGGGTGCTCGACGTCGTACGAAAAGACGTTTGCCAGCAGCTGGGTCTCGGTGAAATACCCCTCTTGGAACATGGGCCTCAGCGGGCGATCGATGAGGCGGGAGATCAGGACCTCGCGCTCGCTGGGCCGTCCCTCTCTCTTCATATAGCTCCCCGACGTGCGGCCCGTCGCGGAGAACTTCTCTGCATAGTCCACGCGCAGCGGGAGGAAATCGACTGTGGGCGATGGTGCGCTCTCCGCGCACGCGGTGCAAAACACGACCGTGTCCCCCACGCGCGCGACGACAGAGCCGGCTGCCTGGCGCGCGACGCGCCCGGTCTCGAAGCGCGCCGTCTTTCCCGGTGCAAACTCGACCTCAACGACGGTCGGCTCGGGCAGGCGCGGGATAGCGCCTCCCGTGCCATGCTTTTCGGAGGCCGGGTCGACCGCGCCGTTGGCCGACGCAGACTTGAGCGAGGCGGTCGGCTCGGGCAGGCGCGGGATGGCGCCTCCCGTGCCATGCTTTTTGGAGGCCGGGTCGACCGCGCCGTTGGCCGACGCGGACTTGAGCGAGGCGCGCGCTCGGCGGACAGGCGCGGCGGCAATGCGCGGGTGGCGCACGCGCGATGCACGCTGGCGTAACTGCGGCGGAAGCGCGGCGGGCGCCGAGAGACCGAAGCACGGCGTCGTCATGGTTGGGATGATTGGGATGGTTGGGATGGGCGAGCGGCGAAGCGGGCGCGACAAGACGACGGGCGCTGGTGAGGGAAGCCGGCGATATTGCGCTCGGAGATCAGGGAGAAGGAGCAGCCTGCAGGTGCCGCAAAACCCCAGGGCCTTCTTACACCGTGAGAGTGTCAGAGAGCACTCTGCGGCTTACAGAAGGTGCGATCAATTCTCTCCCGGCCGCTCCCACACGCTTGACCTTTCCCCGTCTCCTAATCCCCGTCTCCTAATCCCCGTCTCCGCTCCTCCCGCTCCCTTACGCGCCTTTCCCCCCCTCACCGCGCGCGCTGGCCGGCAGTCGTGTGCCTGTCCACGCGACCCAGGTGCACCGTAGCATGGAATGCGAACCCGCAGCGTCGCGCTCGGCGGCGCCGCGCACCCCCTCACCGGAGCCAGAGCCGCTGTCACCACCACCACCACCGCCGCCGCCGCCGCCGCCGCCGCAGCTCTCGGTGGTCGAGCTCCCCGGCGTGCTGCGTACGAGCGATGCGTCGCGCGCGGTGGCCGCGCTAGGCGGTGAGCACTCTCTCCGCGAGTCGCTCGCCTCGCGCGCTCCGCTGACGCTGAACCTGCGGCCCGGGGCGCGGCACAGCGCGTCGAACATCGCGTCCGAGCCTACGGCGCGTCCGAGCAACCTCTTCGTGCTGTGCGTGATGGCGGACGGGGACGAGGCGCGCGCGCGCGTGGCGGGGGTTGTGGACGGGGTGACGACGTTTCGCAGCCTGGCCGACTTCCAGTACCACGTGCACCACGCGGCGCCGCGAGGGGCGGCGCGGCAGCAACGGGGTACGGCGGCGGCGCTCACAGATAGGGAGCGCGAGATGATGGTGGAGCTGGAGGCGGCCGGGGAGAGCATGTACAACCTCGCGACGGGGAAGAGGGCGGGGCGGCGCGTGGGGGAGGAGGAATATGCGATTGACCGATTGCGGCCCGCGAGGTTTGTGCGCGGGCAGAAGGAGTATGGGACGACGGATTACTGGTTTCGGCAGTTTGGGGTGAACACAGATGCGGCGGCGGGGATGGGGGCGGGGAAGGCGAAGACGCGAGGGCGTAAGCTTGGAGAGGATCGGCGGTCGGACGCGAACCGGCTGGTGGCTCTTTCGCATCGGATCTCGGCGGACGCGGAGACGGTGCCGCAGAAGCCGGCGGAGGATTGTATGAACCCGCCGGTGGTGCGCGGGGTGGAGTCGTTTCACACGTTGTGCGGAATTTTGGAGGGCAAGTTTCAGGAGCGGCCGGTGTGGATTCGCAGGGCGCTGTACGAGGGGATAGCGAGCAGGCTGAGGAAGAGCTTTAAGAGAGCGATTACGACCGTGGCGTACAGCTTTCAGGGACCGGGGCCGTTCCATCAGGCGTGGATTCGGTACGGGTACGACCCGAGAAAGGACGCGGCGTCGAGGCAGTACCAGGTGATTGAAATCCGGTGCAACCACCCGGTGTTGCGGGTGGCCATCAAGGAGAAGAACAGGGAGCGGTTGGACATGGACGACGAGCCCAGCGATGGGGAGTTCCATCTGCCGGACGCGTACACGCTGTCGCACATCCCGCGGCACAAGAACAACTTTGTGCAGGTGTGCGACATGTCGATCGCGGGAGCGATCCAGTTTTGCAAGACGGAGGCGGCGCGCGGGACGTATAACAAGAAGTATGGGTTTTTCTCGGAGCACGGGCAGCAGGAGCTGGTGCGGATCATCAAGGCGGCGCTGGTGGAGAACGCGGTGGCGTATGTTGGCAAGGAGCGGGCCGAGAAGATCCTGATGCCGTACTCGAAGACGGAGGCGCCGAAGAAGAAGCGGGCGCGGACGTCGTTGGGACAGGTGATGAAGCCGAAGATTCACGGGGGGTTTCGAAAGGTGACGGCGGGCCGTGCGACGAAGAAGGGGGTTGTCAAACAGCCGCAGCAGCAGCAGCAGCAGCAGCAGCAGCAGCAGCAGCAAGGGCCGGGGGGCGTGGCGGGCGCGAATGCGGCGAGTTTGGAGGAGGAGGTGGAGGAGGAGGAGGATGAGGAGGAGGAAGATTGGGGCAGTAGAGCAGAAGTGGCGGAGGAGGTTGTCGGGCAGGCGGGGGCGGGAGGGGGAGGGGAGGCGTTTGACGGAGTGGAAGGATACGAAATTCTGGGGGATGACTCGGAGTCGGAGTCGGACGAGAGGTCGGAGTCGGACGAGTGTGATGAGGATGATGGAGTGAGGTAGGGGAGGAGACGCGGAGTCAAACAAGAGCGGGCAAGGTAAAGCAAGTGGTATATACTTGTACAGTATAATAATATGGACATTAAAGATGGACAAAGATGGACAACGATGGACGAAAATGTGGGGGGTTTTTGATGGTGTCAGGAGGCAGGCGGCGATGGTGCCGCCTGATTGGGTTTTGTTTGTTATTATTATACTTTTTTTTTATTTTTATCCTGTGTCCTCAAAAGAAAAAAATGTACAAAATGGCACTAGAAAACCATACGATACGACTCACACATATATACACGAGCTAAAAATACGGTAGGTGAGTGACAATCTACACATGCGGAGAGCAGATAAAGACACAAACCGACACAGCAACGGGGGACACGCGCATCCACAAAAGGGGCGAGCGCACGCACGGAAAGCCACTATACGACACACGAGGGTTCCCTAAGGCGGGCATCAAAAGCTTCTCAAGCTGTGCGCGTCAAAGTGGTACGGCCCAAACATGGGTTCCATCGGCGGGGCGGCGGAGGTGAGCAACGAGGTGATAGGCGACGAGTCCTCGAACAGGGAGTCGATCGGTGCTGACAGCTTGTGCTCGACCGACGGTGGGTGCTGCTGGTGCTGGTGCTGGTGCTGGTGCTGGTCCGGGCCCGGGAGCAGATGGGGGTGGTGCTTGGCGACAGAGTCCTTCTGTGCGTGGTCCTTGTGGGCGAGGTCGACGTCAATGTAGAGCGGGGGCACGTCGTGCAGCATGGAGCTGCGCTGGGACGCGGCGGAGGTGGCAGCGGAGTCGTCCTGGTGCGCGTGCGGTGTGCATAGGGCGTCGAGGGGGAGGTGGTGTTGGTGGTCGGCGGGGAGGTGCTGCGCGTGTGCGTGGGCGTGGGCGTGGGCGAGGGCGCGGTGCGGGCACGGGAGGAAGGCGAGGGGGTG